AAACAAACAAATATAAAGTACTTCTTTCTCAAATGCAAAGCCATCCGGTAAGGAACAAATTAGGTTTGGGAAGCAAAACCAGAATTAGGGTAATGGTATCCAATAGCTTAGTTTAGAGGAGGAAACTCATTTCAGGTTTCCTGTCAGTCCAAACACACCTACAAAAACAGACGCATACTTCTGAGTTGGTTCAAAGGGACACTTTCCTCTGCTCTCCTCAGCTCTTCCTTGCAAGCTGATGTTTGTCCCGTGGATAACCTATGTCAAACGATCATTTAAACAGGATGAGAAGTCACCTTCTGGTCTTTCGTACTGCTATAAAAGAATTAGGAAAGTTTTCAACAGGAATATTTTGAGCAAAGGGTTTAAAGATCTGCCACACTGCTCAAATACCTGCAGGAAACCCTTTATTCAAACCTAATTACCATGTAATCACAAGCTGGGTGATAGGCGTTCGTTCCACAGACATACAAGTAAGAGGCATTTATCTTATGGAGGAAGAGGATGTAGTTCTGGCATCTTACCTAAACCAGAAAATCAACAGAAAAGCTGTACAGTGGAGTGGATTGCACCTGACAATCTCCCCGTGTCTTAGCAGCAAGCAAAATAACCCAACACGCTGACAGGACTCTGAATTTGGTACAAAGAGGCTGTCAAAATCCTGTCACCATTTTTATTTCAGTTACTAACAACAGAAGTTCCTACCTTGTCCTTTCCTCTATGAATACATTCCAGCTGCCTTTCCTGTGTAGCAAACCAGTATTCCTAAAAGCCAGAAACACTTGTGAGGTGCTATGTTGCAATTACCTATTTTTTTTCCCCCACAACATTATGTGTCAAATATCCCTAAATAATCCTACCTTTGACCTTGTGGGGTAAAGAAGCATTTTTCTACACCTCTCCAAAAGCATAATAAAAAACCTGATGATAACAGATACCTGATTATAATGAAGATCCTGTGATAAAGTATCAAGCCTTGAAATAGTAATACTTGTAGTCACTTAAACTCAGAGCATGATGTTCACCTGAAGAAATCCACAAGCAAAGTATTTCTTTTCAATGAAGGTATGGAAAAAAAAGATCTTTCATTTACCCTTGCTATTTCTCTAGAAATATTGTTCAAGTCCAGAGCGAACACTGCATCTCTGCCTCCCACAAACAGGGTATTGGTTTCTTTGTCCACAAGCAGAGTGGAGACATTGGCTAAGCCTTCTTCCCTAAAGGTGGTGGGATTTCCTGCTGCAAAACACAGAAGAGAAGTTATTTTATTTAGCACTAGAATGACAATGTAATAAAAAATCCAGATTGAAAGCAAATTGTAACAGAACAAAGGGAAAAGCTTGTCCACTTTTCCAGGACATTTCCTGAATGCTAGGAAAGTGTTTGAATAAATGCAGAGATATTCTCTTCCTAATTTCTTACAGGCACATAAACAACACTGTTATAATTACCTGTAAGCCAGACCTCCAGCTACAACTACTGTTCAGGCATCCCTGTCATTCGGATGAGTGCATCTGCAACAGCCCATAGCATTCCTTTTTATGCCTAACAAATAATGAACTCCCAACACTGTGCTACGTTTCTTTCTGCTTGTGAAATGCCTGCGTTTCACTTACTTTGGTATTTTACTGTTTTTCTGGGAATGCAATTCCCAACAGAAGCTTTTGTCTCTTGAATTAATTGCAAAACAAGACAAAGGACAAGAGCAGTGCCACCCATTTTCAGAGATTCAGCTAGAAGGAAGCTCTTCCCCGTTGTTATTCCTTGTCACTAAATAACTGCAGGCAGCAATGTCTTCATGCTTCTCGGAAACGGCCTGTGGAGGCGCTCCGAAGTGGCTGCAGTCCTCAAATCCTTTCTGAAACTTGTCAAAACCTCTTACGTTTGCTGGTAACGCCTTCCAGACGTCCTAAAATAAAAAGCAGCTGAAGGTCACTGTGATACGTGGTGAATTCCTTTTCGTTGGAGCCCTTTTACAGGATTTAGTAGCTATTACAAAGCTGTGTATATGGGTTCGAACTGAAACAGGGGAAGGTTAGGTTGGATATAAGGAGGAAGTTCTTTACTGTGAGGGTGCTGAGGCACTGGAATGGGTTGCCCAGGGAAGTTGTGAATGCTCCATCCCTGGTGGTGTTCAAGGCCAGGTTGGACAGAGCCTTGGGTGCCATGGTTTAGTGTGAGGTGTCCCTGCCCATGGCAGGGGGGTTGGAACTGGATGATCTTAAGGTCCTTTCCAACCCAGACCATTCTGATTCTATGACGTGTAGTTACACTAACCAGAAGCAGGCACCGCTCTGATGGCAATCCCAAGCTATTCCCAGCAAACGCAGCTTTGTGCCAAGTCTGTCACTCTCATTTACAAGCTCAATGGCTCCGATTTCCGGTGGGGTAACTCCGTGTTGCTTCACAAACAGCAGGAACAAGTGGGATTGTTTTGCAGCAATCGGCTATTTGAAATACGGAAGAAAAACCATCGCTAAAATGGCTTTATTTCCAGTAATCCAGCAGGGTTTATAGGTACGTTAGATGAAAATTACATCTCCATGTAGCAAATGAACCTTGTGTTATTAAGACAGAATTCCCCTATTATTCATTAGAACCTGGGACACCTGATGCCTGGGATTTGGGCAACCCAGTCAAATGCGCACACCCACCAGCAGCACTGGTGCATCTGCAACTACAGAACGCACAAACCCACGTCCCACATCTGCTTCCGTAAGGAAGGGGAACGCTGCTCTTCCTGCACTTCCACCTGGAGGGCAGAACCCGCCGCTGAGGAAGGGGTTTGCCTCAGAAGCCAAGTCTGGGTTAGAACAGCGTCGAATGAGGCGAACAGGCTGGAGACCGCAGGGCGCTCGTGAGGCCCTGGTGTGAGCCTGCTCAGCCACGGCCCGCGGGCCAGCAGCACCCATCTCCTCCATGACTGGTGCCTGCCACCCTCGTTTTACACCTCCCTGCTCCTGGCAGTGAGAACAGCCGCGCTGTCCCCTCGCATCTGTTCCAATCCTAACTCCGACCCCCCCCCTGCCCCAAGGGCCGTTTCTGGACTGCACCGTGGGCAGAGCTGACACAGACCTGAAGGACAAGAGGTAGAGAGCACCCATGGCACCCCCCACAACAGCCCAACCCCGCACCACCCCATGGAGCCTCCTTGGTGCTCAGGGAACCCCACACACCCTGCAGCCAGCGCCGCGGCCGGGCACGAGCCCCGCTCCCCTCAGCACACACAGCCCCAAGATGGCGGCGCCTCCCTCAGCTCCTGCCGCCTCAGGAGTGACCGTTGGTCACGTGACCTGGCCCTGCTCCATGGCCGGGGCTGGGGATGGAGCAGTGGATGTGGGACGTGGGATGTGGGATGTGGCACCGGCCTCCATGGGCAGCGCTGGATGTGGGACGTGGGATGTGGCACCGGCCTCCATGGGCAGAGCTGTGCCGGGATCCACAGGGAAACCATGGATGTGGGATGTGGCACCGGCCTCCATGGGCAGCGCTGGATGTGGGATGTGGGATGTGGGATGTGGCACCAGCCTCCATGGGCAGCACTGGATGTGGGATGTGGGATGTGGCACCGGCCTCCATGGGCAGAGCTGTGCCGGGATCCACAGGGAAGCCGTGGATGTGGGATGTGGCACCGGCCTCCATGGGCAGCGCTGGATGTGGGATGTGGGATGTGGCACCGGCCTCCATGGGCAGAGCTGTGCCGGGATCCACAGGGAAGCCGTGGATGTGGGATGTGGCACCGGCCTCCATGGGCAGCGCTGGATGTGGGATGTGGGATGTGGCACCGGCCTCCATGGGCAGCGCTGGATGTGGGATGTGGGATGTGGCACCGGCCTCCATGGGCAGCGCTGGATGTGGGACGTTGGATGTGGGACCGGCCTCCATGGGCAGCGCTGGATGTGGGACGTGGGATGTGGGACCGGCCTCCATGGGCAGCGCTGGATGTGGGATGTGGGATGTGGGATGTGGCACCAGCCTCCATGGGCAGCACTGGATGTGGGATGTGGGATGTGGCACTGGCCTCCATGGGCAGCGCTGTGCTGGGATCCGCAGGGAAGCCGTGGATGTGGGATGTGGCACCGGCCTCCATGGGCAGAGCTGTGCTGGGATCTGCAGGGAAGCCATGGATGTGGGATGTGGGATGTGGCACCAGCCTCCATAGGCAGAGCTGTGCTGGGATCCGCAGGGAATCCATGGGTGTGGGATGTGGCACCGGCCTCCATGGGCAGAGCTTTGCCGGGATCTGCAGGGAAGCGGAGCGGGAACACTGTCCTCGCCACATGGCAAAGCCCATCTCACCTGCTGGCTGCCTGCACACTGGACCCCTCCAGCAGGCAGAGCCTGTGGAAGCGGCTGCTTCCAGAAACACTGGATTTCTCCATATCCAATCACCCCTCCAGAACCCGGTATCTCAAGGAGTTATGTTCATGAATGACAGAAGTCTATGGATGGGAACTGATCTACAGCCTCTTAAAGACTGGTGTTTAACGACCAGGATGACACAGTAGAACAGTGTGGGTGGTCCTGTGCTCAGCATGTGCAACCACAACTCCCTCTGGCCCTGGTAAATGACCCGCAGGAATGGCTACGGCATCAAATAAAGCCAGAACTTAGAGATTCTCTCTTCATTTTTGTGTGGTGACCTCCTCATGAGCTCTCCTTTTAGACGGTTTCTCTAAATTGCCATTTCCCATCCAACAATAGTTCCGGTTTCTGAAAATAGGGCTTGTCAACTGTTCCAAGATAAAGCTTTTGTTATCCATGTTATCCGTAAACCAAGGAGTCCCTAATGAACCTCTGCCAAAGAGGCAGCTGTTTTAGAACTCACATCTGGCTTTGTTGCTTTCTGTTGCTTTATTACCTCGTGGTGGGATAACAAAACACAACCTCCCCCTTCAAAGTCTTGGCTAGGAAAGAATTGTCATGGAAATGAGCACAACCTTCGACCACCGGCAATCCGGCACAGAAGAGCTGAAGAGAACACACGGCATGCCAGCACGTTCTTAAACAGCAGTAACTTTATTGCCCACAGATAATGCAAACAGATTCCAGCCTTGCTGCAATTCAGCAAGTTTCCTACTTGACAAGGTTCACAGAAAACTGTTTCTTTTTAGAAGTACCCTCTTGTTCTTTGAGCATATTCTCATTTAAGGTGTTTATTATTGCTCAAATCTACAGTCTGGTTGTGATTGGCCACTCAGTCATGAGATATGCAGGATTAAAGATGATACAGGACTTTCAGGGCTTCCCTTTTAATTAGAAAATATACCTGCTTGTAGGATAGAAACCATCTCAAATAACATTTGAATTTTTAAGTCCAGACTCGCTTTGGGCACGATACATCAGGATTAACTTTAAAGCAGAATGGGATATCAATAGAAAATATACTGTACATTGATTAGAGAACAGTCATCTCAGCACAGATTAAGTGTTCACACTAAGGATGCTGGAGTTGTCTTCTTCAAAATAATCCCCAAAATAAATAGGAAAATGTCCCTGGTATTACAGCAAAAAAAAAAAGCTTAGAAGGCAAAAAAAAGAAAAAAAAAAGAGAAAACATCTCAATTAATCCAACACAATTACTCCAAACAGCATATTACTGACTGTAGTTCTACTGTTAGGGCACCTCCCCAGAATGGGGATCTCATTTCTCTCCAGCGAGAGCAAACGTCCTTTCCTCTAGAACCAGGTCCTCACGTATAACCACTTTTTGAAGGAAAAAGAGGGAAAAGGAGTAGCCAGGGGTGGAACTTGTCTCTGTAAAGCCTTTCCTAGCTGTCAGTATAAAAGCAAGGGACGGGAGACCTGGCTGGTGTCTTTCCCAAGCGCCCACTCTCGCTTTACCTCTGGACAGAAGGCAGCTGGCTGCACAAGTGTTAAGTTTCAGCTCGGTGCAATTCTCCCCCTCATATCCTGTCTAAAAAAGGAATTTGAATTTAAAGGCAACAGTAAACCACACATATGTAAAGACAAAGCTCTGCTCTTTGAAAGTCAGTCCACCAAGAAAACCAGAGACAACTGCTTCCTGGGACATGGGAATAAAGGGTAAAACTCTCACATTCTGACTGGGGCATGACCATTTGGGTGCTCATGTGGGGAGTAACACTGTCAAGGATAGATTTAATGCCCTAGAAGCCACATGAAAAACCAACTGAGAAATGATTTAGTAGGTATTCTCCACAGAGACATTTAGCAGCACAGAAACAGAGGGACTTTCCTTCCCTCATGCACTATAAAATCCTGCTTTACACTAACATAACACTGCATAATCTCAATTCCACTTGTTAGTGCCAAAGTGATGCATATCTCTTACAAATGGCCAAATTCACAAGCAAAACATTTAAACCAGAAATCGTTTAGTTCTACATTTATTGCAGATATTAAAAGATTAACAATGCTAACATGTTTACTTACACTAGGAAGAAATGTCAGTTATCCAGTAACATAAATATCTCATTGCTACTAGCTTAGCACTACTGCCAACTTGCACGGAACAGAAACTAGCAAATTGCTCTACAAGATTAATGGCAAAAAAAACAACCAAAAGACAGTAGACACACCACTGAAGTTAGTTAAAATGTTCACTGAAGCTTGCAGTCTTCATGGAAGAGAGCCTGGAACTAAAATAACAGAAAAGAAGCTAGTAAACTTGAAACAAGGCAATGCATCTGCATAACAAATGTTTCACATGTACAAGTATTTCAAATTTGCTAATCAGCCTGCAAAAGCAGGTCAAAATAAAAGGGAATTCCTTTGGCAAAAGGAGCGTAAGGTCTTGGGAAAACAAGATAAAAGTGGCAAAGGGTAACCCACTTGAGAGCAACACTGGAATCTCAGCACCAGTACTCTCTGCTGGTATCTTGTCCAAAATTCAAGTTTGGCACAAGAAAGACAGCCCATACAACAGTCATCCAGGGCAGCAGATTCAGATTTTCCCAGTGTTCACGTTCATTCTCAAGACAGCATTATAGTAAACTGAACTGCCCTCAGAAAGGACAGTACCATTTCCCAGCTTGGGTGAGGTGTTTCACAAACGCACCCCAACCTCTGCCCACCAAACGTGGGTTAACACCAGAGCAGTGCAGAATGCTGACCTGGCCCCAAGAGGTTGAAACCTGCTGCGAACCTCCACCTCGCGCCTTGCTGCAAACAGCAGAACGAGCACCAAGAATCCTTCCAAAATGGAAATGTGAGAGAAGAGCTGAACTGGAAGTTGGCAGGGAAATAAAATTGGGAATGGCAACACTGGCAGCCTCATCACTGGCACAGAAAGAAAAGCTGAAGCCTTTTGAGTGGGTCTGAGAAATAAATCACAGGCCAACGCCACTGGTTCAAGTGCCATTCTAAACCAGACTGCGACTGACAGATCTCCCTTTTTGAAAGGCTCAAGTTTTACCATGTATTAGGCACAGGAAAGAAAGAGGGGCAGCAAAGAACACCCAAATAGGAACTCAACAGGTAAGCATACATTGCCAAGGACTGTAACTGAGACCTTTTAGTAGCCTGTGCTCCAAAATGATTGAGGATTTTAAACATCTCCAAGTAAAGCCTATGAGAAATGGGTGGGCTATCAAAAGTCCTTAACCAAGTCTGACAATTAGATAAACTCATTTCTTATGTCCTTCATGCTTCAACTTCTTGTAATATAAAGGGTGAAGACACGTGTGATATTCGTGGAAAAACAGAACCACCAATGTATTGTTCTGTATCAGCCAGTGTGGTTTTATTCAGTGAGGATGTGCTTCAAGGCAACAAAACCAGAAAATTACACTGCAACACAATTGTTTCTTATGGTTTCAAAGACCCACAAAGAAAAAAAAACCCAAACTTGCATTCATAAACTAAAACTGGTTGTTATAAGGAAAAGCTTGTTGCTATTGAATGAAAATGAAGACATTCCCTTTCAACCAACAGGGGTTTTAATGGGGAAAGAGTATGATTTTGTTCCTTAAACAGCAGGCACAGGCAAGCTGGTAACTGAAGAACACAGTTTCTTGCATATATGTCAGTGAGGAATGCGAGGTGCTGCCACGGGACCAGGGGGTGCTATTAGTGGTGGACCACAAGCTCTGTGCTCTGCAAGAAGCATGGTGTGGGATGGGAACATCAGCAAGACAAACACCCACTGCTAGTAAGCAAGACATGCATCAGCTCAAGATCAACTCTCTTCAAGAAAACTTCAGCAAAGTAGGTTTTGGTACTATAACATTCAAGTGAAGAGTTTTGCCTAATGATGGGGAATGAATACACTACAAGTGCACTATTAAATTCTCTCAGTAGTCCAGTCACAGATCCCTTATTAATGTGCAAGTCAGATAAAGATGAATGATCAGACCTCGAATCTTTTTTTGTGGTAACACTGTGAAATCTTTCTCATCTTCAGAGCTGCTTCACCAAGCAGTCAGGTAATGTTTTCTGCTGAAGCACAGTAGGTTAATCCAGTCTTCACTTTCAGGAAGTTGTGGAATAGTCCCTTAAAAGTACAAGCTTTTTTTGTCTTATGTCATGGGATTTTTCAATAACAGAACTTCTGCAGAACAAATGTTTAAAAGAAAAAAATGGCTCTCTAAATTGATGGTCTTATAAAACTGATCATCCACTTCCAGATGACTTCTGAATAGCTGACTTCCAAGGGTTTTCTTCAGGACCTTCTGCAGCCACATGACCTTCTGCAGCCACATGAACTGCACCTGCTCATGGCTTAAAATGCTCTGAGAAGGAAAGAATTTAGTCAAGAATTTGCTGGAGAAGAGCTGCAAATTCGTGTAAACCCAAAAAATACACTTCAAATATATATTACTTGTTGCTTACAGTGAGAGACCTCAGCAGCAGAGGCTTTCAAGGAACAGTTTAGTGTTCTCAGACTCAGATGAACTCTGTTATTCATCCTACTTTTAAAGTCTAGATTCCTATGTGAAATAAGCACACAGTTAGAGACTCTTCTTAAAAATGGCATGTGGAGGAAAGGGAACTGCCTTATGCAGACTCCAGAAGTAGAAGAGAAGATCAGACCATCAACAAAATGTAGTGTAATAAAATCTGACCTGCCTTGAAAGATTTGAACTTGAGAAGACTCTTGGTTTCAGAAAGGATCAGAGCCAAAGCAGGCTAAGTCATATTTTTCATGCTGCTTATTCTGGGTTTTTTTGGTAAGCCATCTCATCACAAAACAGGAATACTTGGCCAAAGAAAGAGGTGAGCAGGCACTTCCGAGAACAAAATCAGTTGTTTCTTCCTCAGAAGATGACATCCAAGTTGTTAGCTTGCACAGTTAAACACAAGACTAACTTGAATCTTGGAAAATGTTTTAATACATTAGTATTCAAGTCCACTACTATAGAACAAAGTGTTCTTCATACTGGCATGCTCTGCCGAGGAGCTTTCACAAGCAGCCTTTGCATATCCGTGCACTTTCTAGCGAGCGAGTCTTTATGTCAAACCTAGAAAGTAAGATTGGGGGTAATTCAGCAGTTCAAAGCAGTTCAACGTGGCTCTGGATTCTCATGAAATGGTAAGAAGCCAGATATACTCATGGAAATAGTAATATTTTCTTGGTAAAAGAAGACTTAAAAAGCCCTGGTACGTTAATGTTTGCAGGAATTCAGAAAGCAGACGTGTCCATTGCACATACCTATTTACTGGCTCTTTTCTGCCTGTACATTTGTATCATTCTTTGACGGAAAACATCAAATGCATCTTCTTTATTTTCTTCCCCTGCAACACCCAAGCCCTCCCCTGCAGAGGTAGCACCCCTAGGGAGTAAAATGAATAGTTAGAACACTCTGTTTCTGTTACATTTGACAATGTGCAGAAGAGATCTAAACAACAGCTTCCAACACAGACACAATTCAAGTGGAAAGCAATTCTGCTTCACTGGGGGGAGAGGGGGAGTGGAGGCTTCGTACCTGGCACACGAGATCAACCATAAAACAATCCCACCTCCCACTGCACATGCAAATACCCACCAGAAGAAAATGCTCCTAGGCTATTAAGGGAGCAGTGAAGATATAGTCATCCAACAGATCAAATTCTTGCATGAACTTTAACCACTTTATTCATGGTATACAAGATCCTCTGTTGAGAAGATGTCAAAAACGGCCTTGTTTCTTACATTTCAAAAATGACAGAAGTCAGAGACTTGGAGGAAACACCACGTAACTGCATAAAAGATGACAATTTTACCAAAGGATCATAATGCTGCTTAAAATGTGTAGCCCCCAAAGCAAGACACGAACCACAGACAAGCCCTGTCCTTCCACAAAGGAAATGAGTCATTAACTCCTCTCTTCACCCAAACATGCCAACAGGAGCAGACAGGCCTCAGCAGCATCAAACCTACTTTCTACCCTGAAGTAGGCGACCCACAAGAATACAGAGGTACAAATAATGAAACCCCATCTCCTTCTCCAGGCTGTGTGCATAGAACAGAGACATTACAAAGCCAAGACGAATGAAACCTCTGCCACAGGAATGATCCTCTGTGCTAGTGTAGCAAAATCTTTAGATAATATTAAAGTACAAAAACCTCTTTAGATTGCCCCATGTGCTCAAATCAGGTTTGCTGTGCTCTCAGGGTAAAATCTGAGGACTAGAAGTAAAGAAAACTTATTCTTATCCAATTTCTGTCATAATGGATCCACGTCAGCCAAGTAGATTGTGCAATTCTGAGAGAATATTTGGATTCTAAAAAGCAAATTCAACTTTACAGCCCACAGCAGAAAGCTGGGTGCTGTTTTTCTTGTCCCAAATGGGACAGTGTGACTTGGCAGCTATATCATCAAGTTCAGTTATGTTTTCTATTGTGGTTAAAAGTGAAATCACCTAAAAGACCTCCCAAAACATGGCTATTTTTGCTCTTTTGCACTACAACCTGTTTGAAGCAGACTCTCCTATTACACAATGGCTGCTTCATGCTTCTAACCAGAAAGAACAGACAATTTTGGTTGGCTTGGTTTTTATTTACACCACAGCTCCCTTTTAGATTACTTCCAGAATAAAAAGACCTCATTAAAGACATGAGATAATCACTCAGAGCAGGATCTGTCCCATAGCAATGCTCTCCCTTTGAGTGGGGGCTGGTTGTTTGGGGTTTTTTAAACATCTCTTACACCTGGTCAGACCCACAGCTCAAGACAGGGAAGAGCTCTCAAGACTAACCTGAAATTCCATTTAAAATCTCTAGAGGTATCATTTCCATGAGGAGTCACCATACATTTCATGGATCTCCTACAGTAACATACACCAAAATCTTCTCAAACCTGCAAATACAACTTGCTGCCACAGCCAAAGACAAGCTTTAAGCTTTCCTAACAAAACAGGGCCTCAAGTTTCTTTGTGTAACAAATAATGTGCCTGAATACATTGGGTTTAGATACCAGTGTTATACAGTGATCAGGGCATGATCTATACTGCAACTGGAGTCTCTCCAATTATTAATCCATCCCCTCCTGCTTAGAGAATGAGATCAGGCAGCATGTGCAGTTTCAAACAATTCATCAGTAGAAGAGCTGGTGATTTTCAAAGAGGAGGAGAGAGGCTGCAGGTTAACTAAATAAAAGACAAACTAACCAACTGCACTGTATCAAAGCAACTAACAGGAGAAAGCAAAGATTTAAACTGCACTGGTCTCATCCTCACCAAGATCGTCTCAGTGTATTGTCCAAAGACAAACTGGATGGGACAGTAGAGAGAGGTGCACACCAGGGAGATAATCAAAACCATGGAGTTCTCGCTATGTTACAGAAAAAGTCAACACATTCTTATTAGAGGTCCAGGAAGCAGTTCTGCACTGCTCTTTGCAGGTGGCTTTACAAGAGTGACACAGCCATGGACTCAAGCTGGAAAAACAGTATTTTCATGTATTAAAACTGCAGTTAAAGATGGGTAGAAACATTGAGAATGTGGGGAGCTGGGAGACCAGACACATCTGAATCACTCATGACTAACTGTGCAGCCAAACTTGTGCGGGAGCTACAGAAACAAAAGTTACTCAGATTTGGTCCCAAGGAGTTTTGAGGTTAAGAGCCAAAGTGGTGACCGTGAGAGCTGCAGGGGAAGTCAAGTACTGTCACATTGTCCATCTGCTGCTGGAAAAGGAAATACAGCAAATCTAGTGATGGCCACTGGACCACAGGGAGCTCTAAGGAAAAAAGAAAGAAACCACCAGAAGTATCCCACCAGCTAAAATGACCAGGAGGGTCCAAGGCACAAAGAGAACACAGAAATCCCTGGAGAAGGAAAACTGTTAAACCACAGACTGCATGTGTGGATAAGAAAGCTTGTTGTATGGGTTCAGAGAGAAACAAATAGTTTCCATCTCCTTATTCAGTCAGGGAGCTGAAGAAGGTATTACTCGTTCCCCATGCTGGCAGCAGTGGACACTGGATACAGCAACTTTAAAAGACAAAATGAAGATTCAAAACCAAAAGAATGTTTTAAAGGAAAGAGCACACTTACCTTCTGGCAGATGCACTTACCTCTCTCAGTGTGCACTGGAATGAATCACGTAATTAGAGTGAAAATAAACGTGTTGCCTACACCTAGGAGTACAGTGTATGACATTCCTAAAGCCTATTTATATGTTTCGTAGCTGGTGTGGCAGCAAGGAGATCCCTAGGATAATACTATGTATTAAAAACCCCAACCCTAAATCCAGCAAACAACAAAACCCACCTCCTGAAGAACAGGGCACCTCTGTATCTTTAGGGAGTGTCCACACACTGCAGCATTCATGCTGCAGCCTTCAGGGATGTCAAATCGGATGGCATGAAACAGCCACCCTCCATTCAGACCAGGCTTTGCCTCCCTGGCCAGAGACACGTGAAGTCTCCACGTTCAGCTCTGCTGAGGCCAGAGGCCAACATGAGGAAGGAAACACACCACTGAACTGGCCCACCTAGGTGCTTAGAGAGACCTGGTGACCAGGAGAATCCCAGCCTTTTCCAGAGGTGGCAGATCTCTGCACTGTGTCCCCATTACATACACTTTTACAGGCTCTCTGATTCCTTTTCCTCGTGAACCAAGGCCATGTCCTTCCTGCCAGCCCATCTTCTGAAGCATCTGGAAACCCACATTCCTGTTTGTTAGCTTCTTGTGTGAAAATTCCAAATCTTTTGGTTTCTGTGGAGAGAAGAATAACCCCAGAAAAAACAAAGGGTAGGTTTTTTTTGTTATACAGGGAGACCATGGATTAAAAATCCCTCAAATCCCCACCTGCTCCCCAAACTAAGTGTGTCCGAATTTCTGGATATACAGGAATATCTTCTAAACAGCACTTCACTGGCCACACTGAGGAAGTCTATCAAAGAGAAGACACCTGACTTGCCAGTTAAATATATATATATATGTATTTTTCAGGTTCTCAAACTGTTTAATTACATTATTAAAATAGCAAAGAATCGTGTTTTGAAAGGTAGTTCTGTTATTTAATATCAACTATTGAATGATCTAATGATTGAACCTCCATTACAAATACAGAACATCTCCCCAGCTGTGGGAAGTTACAGCCTGTTTTCCAGACAGCAATGCACTGATTCCTTTCTTCCTTTTCAGCTTTTGTATTTTAATAGAAGACAAGGATAATACACATCTTTTCAACAGTGCTGTAATCATTAAATGTTGCCTTTTGACACAGGTAGTTACAAGACAACAGGAGCCATGGCTGCCCTGAGGTTTAGTCCTGGCTTCCAGGGTCAGGCTCTTCAGGTTTTAAGTTGATTTTATGGCAATGACACATTTTCAGGGGGGGTCTCTTGTAAAGCCAGTGGGCTCTCAGAGTGCAATAACAAATGAGAAGAGTTCTTTACCTTCTTCTTCTTTGTAACTGGGCAACCACGGGGCCTATCATAAGCAATTCTGACAGGTTCGTGCACTGCAAGTCAAATCAAAGACAAAATTCAGCTGCAAAGAAAAACTACTTTCATGCAGAACTCCCCAAGTACATCTCAAGCAGGACTCAACTCAGTGCCTTGGCCTAAAATCAGAACCAACAAGAAAGACCAGAATAAAACCGAGACAAATAGAAATGGTAAGAACTTTTTCCGCCACCTCCACCGCAAACAAAGTAATTAGTACACGCATGTATTTAGTTTTGGACATATTCTGCCAGCAATACACTGATGGATGATACACTATAAAGGACTTTAGATCTTTCATTTCCCTCAGCTTCTGTAATACTCATAGAAAATTCAGCCTGGACTTAAATGAGGTCATTGTATACAATTTTCATCTCACAAATGATAACCTTCACCAATAAAAACCATTATGCAAAGAAAAGCCATTTGTTAAAGCAGCTGCAGAGTACATAGAATCAGTTTTAAGCTACTTATCTTTCAAGTCTTGGACTATCAGGACCCACCCTTGCTGTGGCCATATGGACATCATTTGACAGGCCAATCCACAGTTGGAACACGTTTAGTCAAACACTCAAAGTCTGTTCAGTACTCTCCTTAAGTCTGTTAAACCTTATGTACACTGACCAAACAAACCCCATAAAACTACTACTGGGAGGTTTTTAAGCAGCAGAGTGGATAACATTCACATCTACTTAGGGAATATTTGAGGAATGATGATGTGAACTTCGCTATTGCACTACAATACAAAAACTTACACAGTTTATTTACATTCTCCTTTGTCAGCTGCATTAATTCTTTTAGCCAGCAGCAGCCAGCAACAAAGTACATAAAAACTAGGAATTCTTTACTGATACCTACAAAATATCCTTTAAGTAACACCCACCTTTTGGTTCTTCTATGAGGCAAATCCTTTTGGATGCCGGAATCATACCCACTTTCAGAGACTTGCTGCTGATTCGTTTGCGAGGAAATGGGGTTCCAGGAGCAGGAGTGGACGCCTGTGTCGACAGATTGGGTACAGCACCATCAGATGATGTGGCTAGCTGCACTTCACCTGTGGACATTTCCTCTCCTGGCTTGGAAATCATCTCTTCAGCTAGGTTTTCCACACTTCTACCTGCTGACACGTCATCCTCTTCTCCCTCCTCTGCTTGCTCCATATCCATTCCTTCCAAAGACTGGGAGATATCATCCTCAAACTCAGCTTCCTCCTCGTTATCTTCTTCCTCCTCTTCTTCTTCATCCTCTTCCTCTTCCAAAATATCCAGATTTGCCTCTTCAGGTTTAGCACTCTCCCCACCATCAGCTGCTTCTGACACAGCACTGAAGTTAATGGATGGGCACAACTCATAGACTTTCATTCGGTAAAATTTGAAGGCAGAACTGTTTCGATCCTGTAGAAACCTGAGCAAAAATTAAAGTGAAATAATATCAGAAAGCAATTGTCTTTACCTACCATGAAGTGAGACAACAGAAATAAAGCTCCTAGTCATATTTTGTAGAACTGTAGGATTCCCCAACAACAGCAATGGTTCTCCTCAGTTCTCACAGACTGAGTTTGCAGCAGCACATCTCAACCTGTGCTGTAAAGAATTCAGTACAATTAGTTGCATTATATAGTTGGAGACACTATGACAAGATGCCAGCTTGGGATGACCGAGAAGGCGAACAGCAGACCCCACAAGAGAATTTGGGTCTTCTGAATGTCAGTCATGTGGCCTATGTGGCAATAGGGGTACTGATTCTGAGAGACAGAAGAGACAACAGGGCTTCCTTTTTACTAGTACAGTATGACTACAAGAGAAAACCTATGCTGATTTACAGCAGAGCACTTGGGCTACTGTCATCAGAGCCTTGCTTCAGAAATGAACAAGACTGAAACTACTTTGGCAGAAACTGTTTCAAGATGCAAGCTGATTACTTAGGATATCAAAAATAAAATACATCTATCAGTGCATGTACACATTTGGGAGGAGCAAGGTTTCAGGTATTTACCATTACTGGAGGTGCTGAGCAGAACAACAGGGAGTACTGCTCAGAATTTCCCTGTTCCCAAACATATTGAATAAAAGCATACATTCAGCACACCAGAAAAGGAAATATCTCCTTAGTAACTGCCTCAATGCATTCTGCTTTTCCTTAGGAGTCCATTCCTACAGCTGAACGTGTGCCTCACTCACCAAAGGTCTGGGTTGTCCATGCTGTTGTCGATGCTGAACTGCTCAATCTCTGGTCCTACCTGAGCAACAAACTTGGCAAGTTTCTCAGCAGTTTCCATTGTTTTAGCATCCACTGCAAGAAACAGAAAGCTGATTATGTACAGTTTCATCCAAAACCTGCACTACTGGAAGCTCAGTACAGTTGAGAACTACTTTAGCAAAATAAGTGATTTTGGTATTTCTGTGACATTCAATGCAAATTTTTTTCTCATATAACTTACAGTTGAAAATCTAATCTTGCAGCTTCACATACCATCAGGAAACTGAGAGGGCAATGGTGGGAGGAGGTCAGGTGGTGCTGAGAAACCCTCAGAATCTGCCCTTTCTTCTTCTGGCAGAGACACCTCCGAACCAGCGGCACACTGTGAGGGTGAGGTGGCATCCAGGGAAGAGCTCTTCTCACCCAGGCTGGGCTCTGAGGCAGAAGGCTTTGTCTGGACTGAACCTTGAAGATGCTTGTCCTGGTGCTTCAGCACCGTCCCAGCTGAAAGCACAGTCTGCGTCCCTGTGGATGCTCTCTTCCCCCTCCTTCCTCGAGCCACACGCTGTGTGCTGATCCCAAGCCTTTTCCTTTTAAACAGCCTTCTCTTAATACTGGCCACCTTCCTGGCATAGAGCATGGCCCGCACGGCTTCTGCTGAAGAGCCTTCCAGTGTTCTGCCCTCCACACCCGCTTCCATGCCAGGTGACATCCGCCTTTGCATCTCTGCTAACTTGAGTCTGTAATACTTGTATTCCAGACTATCTTCATCAGACAAGAACCTAAATAACATCACATCAACAAAATGAAAGCCTGAGCTGAAAGCACAACTGAGCTCAGATTCTCAGAGCAAAACGTCTGCAGCAACTGACCCTTTTTTCCAGGGGTGTACACAAGCTGCTAGACTAACATTAGCCTCAGAATAACACCCAACTCCACTTGTATAGCAGTGAGTAAAGCATGCCAAGGAAGTAAATGATGGAGAGGTTTGACATAAATCATTTGGCTAGTAATTAAGCAGCTATGCTGTAATTCACACATTAAGAGATACTGTCAGATTAAAAGATCATCACACTTGGAAGTGTCTCAGCTTTCCTTTTCCAGTATTATTTAGAACATAAGATCAGTAAGTCTGTCACCTCACTGTGTGTTTATACCAGCTACATTTGCTTCCTATTCTCATTTTGTGCATGCAAATTGCTTCTAACGCCCTGCATTTGGATTGAGGTGCAGCCATTACTGACAGATCAAAAGCGTCATGAGCTACAAGACAAAACAGAAGTAACAGGACATTTTCCAGGGGTATCAGGAGATGCAATGGGCTCAGAGAGTCTGATTAAATATACAATAGGCTTTGATCTTACACCCATCCAATGAATATTAGATTTAATTAAATCTATTCCATAGATCTTTGCCAGCAAGCAGCATTACAACACACTGTTCAAACACACCTACCAATACTCAGGGCAGCTCTTCTGAGCAGTCCTCTCTTTGGCAGACAAGGTTCCTGACACGATGCTGGTCACCAGCTCTTCAATTGTCTGTACAACCTTCCGATCGGCTCGCTGTGGGACTGTGGGGAAAGGGAAAAGTAGTCACTTTATTCTGCTCATCCACAGAGCATCAATGTGGCATCTTTTTTATTCTTTGATACACTGACATTTGCAATTTTTCAACATTAATAAATAGAAAGGCTGCACTTAATATAAGTGAAGGAAACCTCAAACTTTCTCTTTTCTCAACTCAGACTCTAGAACAGTTTATTCTGAGCAGTGGCTGTGGTTTAAGAAACTCACCCCTTGGCCATCCTGGGCAAGTGAAGCCATCTTTTGAAAGGCAATTACCGATTGTACCAAAGGGAATTTGTGCAAAATAAGTATATGTGAACACAATTGGGAAGGGAGGAGCTCCAAATCATTCACTGTCAGTGCTGCAAGATCTCCCTGAGAAAGCAGATGACGTTCAATTAGGAAAAAACAGATGAGTGTAGTAGTGAGTAAGAATGCTTTAGAAGATGAACTAATTGGTCTAATAGAGTAGAGGAGATCTATTCCTATAGATGGTAGTATAAAAACAACTTCCAAGACATCTGCATCTGCCAAAAGCACTGATGGTAACACCTGCAGCTTTGCTTAGGTGCAAATACTCCCTCTAATGCAGGCAGTTGCAGCTGCAGGCATGGCCTCCCTCCAGGGCTGGCACTGGGGGGCAATGGAAGAGGTCCAGGGCACGAGGTGGAAATCCTACATTTCAATATAAGCACGTGCCAAAGACTCACATGGAATTCCCAGAACTGGGAAATCCTGACCTAATGAAATCATTAAAATGACAATAAAATGCTAGTGACAAATAAAGACATTATATCCTTCCAAGTATCTTACAACAGTTTACCGCATTACCTTTTGGATCAGGAGAGGGGTTTATAAGCGGTTCTGTGGACTCCTGCTCAGTTTTTTTCATCTGAATGGGATATCCACTCTTTTCCAACCAAGCCTTCAAGTTTTCAATGTACTCCCTTCCAAACAATGTTGAATCATCAAAGTTTGGGAACAAAGTTGGTGCTGGAGCCATTTCCTGGAGCCCTACAGCCTCAAGTATTTTCTCTTGCCTGAAAACAGATGCTAAGGCGAAGGTCTGCCCCAGAAGTGCTAAAGACTTACGACAGAGAGAAACAGTGGTCTCAAAAGCACTTGCCATTTCTCTGGGATTCCCAAACCCACTCGTCTTGATGCTCAGCTCATAGGCATTACAGGCCATCAGCAGCGGAGTGACACCTTTCAGGAGGCGGTCCTGGAGCCTCATTATGTATTTATCAAAAGGCTTGATTATCTCAAAGAAGCAATTCTTTGTTTTCACAGCACCTTTGTCCAACAGCATGTTTAAAAACTCATTGTCCACTTTGGGAGTTTTGAGAGCAGCATGTTGTAAACTCTTGATAGTAAAGAAACAATAATCTCTGTGTTCTGGCTTCAAGGAGCACTTAAAGGAGGCAAGCATTTTTGCACAGGTTTCTGTCTCCAGCTCAAAGAGAGCTCCGAAGAGCCGGGAAAACTCTGCATCAGTTTTTATCGCATGAAACCCAGCCCACTTGATAATTTCTATTCCAAATGTTGAAAAAATGTCTGATTTGTCCACAAGGTCAAAATTGAGATTTCTGAAAACGTGTGCAGGCTTTGGGAGCCTGAGAATAGGTCTCTGGGTTGTTATAGGTTGTGGAAGCAACTTTTGACTGGGATGCTGGATGGGCACTAGCCTCTGGCTGGGTCGCTCAGCATCTTCTGGCTCAGGCTGCTCAGCTAGTGTCTGGTCGAGGCCTGGCTGCAGCTTTTTAGTGTTCCACTTCTTGTGGGGAGCTTTGATCTCTCCTTTGAATACTTTAGTTTTAACAGCACCCCTTGCAATACGCTTTCCTCGCAGACCTCTTCCCCTGCCACTGTTGCCCCTGCGAATCGGGGGTCGGAACTCGCCGTCAGATTGAATTCCAAAGTCTACATCATAGTCCTGATTTTCCATACTGCCATATTCATCTTCCATGAGTCCTGGTGATCTAAAATCACCTAAAATATCCGAAGAACTAAAATCAGTTTCATGTGGTCCAGTGGATTCCCAAGAGTCAGGAGGGCAGTAGTCCTGGTCATGAGAAGCCAGGCCCACATACTCCCGGTCATGGGAAGCTGGGTGCCCATATTCCTGGTCATGGGAAGCCGGGCGCCTGTACTCCTGGTCATGAGATGCTTGGTGCCCAAACTCCCGTTTGCGTGCAGCTGGACGCCGGTATTCCCGACTGTGCGAAGCTGGGTGGCCAAATTCCCGGTCACGGGATACCGGGTGGCCAAATTCCCGGTCACGGCATGCTGGGCGGCCAAACTGTTCATGGTAGTAGTTGTCTTTCCTTACAAGAGGATTGGCAGTCCTATAGGAAGGTCCTGGGTAGTCATCCCTGGGGTCTTCACTCCAATCATCATGTGGATGGTGCTGAGCGTTATCGTGAGCATATCTTCCATCATCATGAAAGCTGTTGTCATACCTTGGTCTTGGGACTGGCCTTGAACGAGCTGTAACAACAAAAGCACAGAGACACCAATGCCTTGCAGGTAGTGCCAGAAAAACCCTGATAAACACATTTAGACACTTAGAAGAGTCAACGGATCAAAGCTCCTGAAGAACAGTAATATATCTAACACCAGGATATTCCCATTTGCTTCTTTATGTACATGGAATAACTGAAATAAGCAAAAAGCCACAAATTAAACAAAACCTAAACACACAGTCAAAACAGTTATTAAAACTTCTATGTCCACTCAAACACCAGCTCTGTGTTACAGTTTGGTTATGTGGTTTAGTTACATGGTTTATACCCCATTTTCCACTTATAACTTCCTCAGACTTGGAAGATGCTCATGTTGTGCTCAAAAGGCTTCCACTCTGATTTTACAGATGTAAGACTATCAAAGCTTGTACTTTCTGTTTCCACACTCAATTCTGGACCTTCTCCAGATCAGATCTACTACAGATCCATAGACACTTATCCAACACACCATTAAAGTCAGATATATCAGGATTTCCTGTAAAGTATCCAAGCTTCCCTATTCCCAGAAGTTAAATTCAGAAATCATACCTGGACAAAATATTTAAAATAAATTATTGCTTTGGAGCTTATACAACTTTAAGAGATCAAAACTCTTAATTTCCTATAATTGTAAAAGGTTAATTTTTTTTAGACATTTTAGGTTTCCAGTTTAGAAAATGAAAGAATCTGCAGATGATGTTTTGTGCGTGTTCAGGAGATTAATGTCCTGCTTTTAGCTTCTGCTCCAAAACTAACATTAAATAAATGATCCAAAGGCTTCCAATGCACTCCTACATTTATTTAACTTGTCAGACATCAACAGAATTCCACCCTGCAGATGTCTCTGGAGACCTCCTGAAATTGGACCGACTCTCTGACAGAGCCTGAACAGAATTCCTTTGTTTGAAATTCGGTTTTACTGCCTGGAATTTGCATTCCACATCGAAATAGTGTCAGTCACAGCAAGCTATTAGCCTCTTAAATGAAAATGGATGTGGAAAACCACCAGCACAAGTCCACATTTTAGGCAAATACACATAAATGGAAGGCAAGAAATGTAACCCAGTGTGATCCAGGGCCCGTCACACCCGCGTTTCATTACCTTTAAAACGATGGATTGTATCTTCTACGGCATCACCCCGGTCCATGCGATACCTTTTAACTTTGTCCTGCACTACAGCATCAAACGTCTCCCGTGTGATCCGCCGAGAGGCCATTTTTATCCTGTAGCAAAACAGCACAATGCCGCCCCTGGCCGGGGCACGGCCGATGGGGAAGGTCCTGCCTCTGCCTCCCCGTTACCCCGGACCCCCCCCCCCCCTCACTGGGCTCAACCCTGGTGGATTCCCGTCAGCGCTGCGGAGGGGGCAGGCACCTCCCGGTCCCCGGTCGGGGCGGTGCAGCCTGAGGTAAACCGCAGCGTGAGGAGGAGCCGCTGTGTTTGGCGCCTTCCCGCCCCTCACAGGGCGACCCTAGCAGCCTCCTGCACACCCACCCCACGCTGCCACAGGCGGGGACACGGGCAGGAGAAGGGGCACCGGCAGGACCAGGGGCACCGTCCCGTCCCGCCCCGCCCCGCTCCGTCCTGCCCCGCCCCGCGTCCCGCCCCTCCGGGAGCCGCCCCTGCCCTCACCGAGGCGGCCGGGCCCGCCGCCGCCTCACGGGAATCTCCCAGCAGCCCCCGCGGACCCCCCCCCCCCCCAGCCCGCCCCTTCCCTCCGCCGCGCCTGCGCTGTTGGCGGCCGCCTCATCCCGTCAAGACGGGCGGTTCCGCGGCAGCGCTGCTTCAGGGCGGCTCGGTACTAACGGTGAGGGCGCGGCGCGGGCCGGGAGGAGCGGGCGGGGAGAGCCCGCAGCCTCCCGCTGCTCTGGCAGGGCCGCGCTGCCCAGCCAGTGGCGGTACTGGCGCATGCGCGTTGCGGTCGGCTGCCGCCTGCCTACGGTGGCCGGGTGGGGCTGGTCCTGTCAGCGCGGCGGGAGGAGCCCGTGAGGGAGCGGCGGCTGCGGGCGGCGGGGAACCGAGGTGGGTCGTGAGGAGAACCGAGGCCTTTGGCGCTTCTCCGGTACCTGCGCCCTCTTCTTGTGCCTGCTCCAGGGCAGGCCTCGCTGAAACACAGGGACGGGATCCACCCGGCCCGGCCGGGCCTTCGGAGGGGATGGGGATGAACCGGGCCCTGCTGTGGGAGCGGGGAGAGAAGGGCCGAGGGGCTCCGGGCTGTGGGAGCCCTAGAGGGTGAAATGTCTCGGGGCTGTGCGTGCCTTGCAGCAGGAGGGGTGCAGGGAGCCGTGTCACGGTAACTCCCACCCGCAGTAGGGCAGCGGCAGCTTCCCCATCCAAATCCAGGGCCTCTGAAATTCCTCCTTGTCTCTTTGCTGTATGTTTCTGCCCATTAAAAAGAAAAACAGCCATCCCTTTGCCCATAGATTTTTGGATTTGAGTTCTGTGCTTTTGTCTTGAAAAAGAGCAAGTCACTTCTTTTGTTTCTGATTAACATTAGAAGGTTTTGTACCAAAACTAGTTGTGGGCGATCTCACTGACAGGACAAGGAGGTGGTTCATCCTGTTCGAGTAAAATGGGGTCAAAACAGATCACACAGGAAACGTTTGATGATGCAGTGCAAGAAAACATCGCAGAGTTTGAGATGGACCCAGAAGAGGCTGTGAGAGAAGCTGTGCAGCAGTTTGAGTCCCAAGGTATTGTAAATTCATCTGCTTTTGCAGTTTGGATTATTACAGACCGAGGTTTTCCATATCTTAAACTTTAAGAGAACCTACATGCAAAGATCCATTGATCTGTCCTCCTGGATTGAAAAGAGGCTTTGTGAAGTGGAACACTGGTGCAGTTAATACTAACCTAGTTTCATGGAGTCAGCTGTGACTGAAAAACTGCTCTGAGTGAAACTGTGGTTTGGTTGATGGTTGGTTTTTTTCTTTCCCAGTTAACATTTAGCCATTAGAGTGATGCTTTGCGCCAGGATGTTATTTGACCATTATAGTTAGACAGAACTTTGGCATCATTGCAGCATCTCCATACATTGATCCACACTTTACAATCAGTTCATCCGTGTTCACTGTGGCTGCCTTGACAAATTTTACCCAAGCTGCTGTCACTAAGATGAATCTGGGTGTTGTTTTTCCTTTCAGGTGTTGACCTAAGCAATATTGTGAAAGCTGTGCGGCCACCGGCCTCTGAAAACGGGCAGAAACAAAAGCATGAGATTTTGCTGGTAAGAACCCATATTCATGTTGGTTCTAAGGATCGGGGTTATATGAGTTTAAGTAATAGACTAAGAATAGTGAGACTTACCTAGTGCTTCTGCCTCTGTCTTACTTCTCTGTGAGCTCTTCAATAAGCAGTTCATCCCATCTGTTGTGCAGGCTACGATTAATACAAAAGTTCATAGAATCATGGAATGGTTTGGGTTGGAAGGGACCCTTACCAGCAAGAATATAAAAACAGTGGTGCACCATTGATAGTTCACTGGTCAGACTGTCCACTGTGATGGCAGAAGTACAGAGATGCTGCTGTTCCTCCAAGGGCTCTCTGCGTGAGGACAACATGCTGCTCTTTCAGACAGCCATTTCTTAAACATGTCAAAGTAATTTTAAGTCTAAAGGTAGACAATGATTATAAATGAACCAATGTGACTGACTCTAAAGAACTGCTCTCATTCCTTCCCATTCCAGGTCCAAAATTAACTCCTGTTCTCTTCTTTAGACTTTAGATGCCCTCGGGAAAGCTGTTGCTGACTCTGACCTTGCTGAGGTGGCCGAGCAGCTCGTGGTCTTCACTGCTCAGTGCAAAGAGCAGCTGGCGTTCCGCTGCCTGGCTGGGCAGAATGGTGCCTATCCTGTGGTGTTCTCTGCCTGCCAGGTGGCTTCGGGAGACAGAAATCTAATGCTGAAAGCCTTTTATACTTTGTCTGCCCTCTTGGATGGGCAGCCAGACCTGCTTGACACTGCTGGCCAGGATCTGCTGCTCCAGACTCTGCAGGAATACAGGGAAGATGCGGACGTGGCGCTGGCTGGGATCCGATGCGTTCGCCACGCCTGTCTGAAGCACGAGCAGAACCGACAGGACTTTGTGAAAGGTGGGATTCTGCCTCTCCTGACCGGAGCCATAGTCCAGCACAGACACAGCGCTGATGTTGTCCGCACGGCTGCCTCGGCCCTCAGGATCATGACGTTTGATGATGACATCCGTGTGCCCTTTGGCCATGCTCATGATCATGCTAAAATGATAGTGTTGGAAAACGATGGGTTAAGAGTCCTCATTGAAGCTGCAAAAGGTAAAATTCACTCCATGTTGATCCTCATTTTGAATCATCTGGATTTTCTTCTCTCAGAGCAGTGCTTTGGCATAACTTGGAGCTCCCAAGAGATGATTCAGATATTTGCCACTTGAATGACATTTCATTCTTTTGATGAAATGTGCCCTGAGAGAGAAAAATGAGTGTTCCAGAGGCACTAAGGTGGCAGTTAATGGTGCTATTTGTCAGTCTATCTACGAGGTTTTTTACAGCCCAGTGTGGGTTTACAGGTACATTATCCCTGCTAAGGTGCTGCATTCTGGCCAAGGAAAGACACTCTCATAGTCTAGATGCAGAGTGATCAGGATGTCATCTGTGCTGGTTCAATATAGAAGGTGAAATACACTTTTTCGTGCTTCTTTTTTAACTGTAATAAGCAAAGTGAAACACCTTGATCCTGCAGCACCCCTTCTCACTCACAGTTCCTCCGTTCATGGTGTCTTCCCTACAGCCTTCACAGATAACTCCAGTGTTCTCAGTGAGCTGTGTGCCACCCTCTCTCGCCTCTCTGTCAGGAATGAATTCTGTCAAGAAATTGTAGATCTTGGAGGCTTAAATTTTATGGTGTCCCTCCTGGCTGACTGCATCGACCATCCAGTGAGTGATATAAAGTGTACTTGGGAATGGAGGTAATGCAGCAGGGCATGCTTTTCAGTTTAGAGTCCTGGCTAGACTATGCATTATTTAGGTGTGGTTAGGGTTGAAACCCAGCCATTGATCCCAATCTACAGCCTTACAGGGTCGTGGAATGGTTTGGGTTGGAAGGGACTTTAAAGATCATCCAGTTCTATTATTACTCTGACTAGCAAGAAAGTGTGACTGAGAGTAGCGTTGCTCTTTGTAGCTGAGAATTACAACTCTGTGAATCCAGTTGCTGGGGATGCTCTGGTTGGCTGTCAGAAGGCTCCAGAACTCTCTCTGCAGCTTTCTAACCCGTTTGTGTGGCTGGAAACAGGACGTGGTGAAGCAGGTGCTCAGCGCCATCCGAGCAGTTGCAGGGAACGACGATGTGAAAGATGCCATCGTGAGCGCTGGGGCGACAGACCTCATTGTCCTCGCCATAAGCCATCACCTCACCAACCCTCAGGTACACAGGGATGTGGTTGATGAAGTCCCACCAGGGTTGGGAATGGAGGTGGAGTTTGGGCTGTGTAATGGAAGAGGGTAACTTGTCCTGTGGAAGGGAGCAAGCCACAGCGTTGCTCTGACTTGTGAGAAACAGCTTGTACTGAGGGCACCCGCTTTCTATGTGCAGTTGTTAAATGACTGTAACTAAGCAATGTGTGAAAACTTTAACATCCAGTTGTTGTTGAGTGGGTAAGGGCATGCTTTGGTAGGTATTTGGGTAAATGACAAGGTATGTCCACTTCACTACATGAGGGTTTTTTCCTTGCTCTTGAATCAGATGGGTACTGGATACAGTGTTTTATACCAAATGTCAAACTTGGTTTATGTGCCAGAGGAGCAGCATGTTTCAGTGGAAAAAGACATTTTAAAAGAATTGCCAGACAAGGAAACAAGCTCCAAATGCTTTCTTTTCCTTAAAGCACCATTTCCAGGCAGTGTCTCTTTCCTCTGTGTTGCAGATCTGTGAGCAGGGTTGTGCAGCTTTGTGCATGTTGGCTCTGCGCAAGCCTGAGAACTGTTCCATCATCATGGAAGGTGGCGGGGCGCTGGCGGCCCTTCAGGCCATGAAAGCACACCCCCGAGAGGTGGCTGTACAGGTATGTGCCTCAGAGCACTTGGGTATTGGTTCAGGATTGGTGTTGGCTCTGTTCGCAGCTTCCTTGGGGTTTTGTGCTTTACTCAACAAATACCAAAAGATTCTGAGCGTGACGAGAAGCAGCATCTAAATGTTGGGCTCCCCACATTTACTCTGATGTAATCAGGGCAAAATGGAGTTTGGGTTTCAAATCCACCTGAATTCAGGTTCAAGCAACTGTGGAATGCCACCCTTCTCTTGCAAGCATCACTTTTCTTCCTGAAAGGAGGAGGATGAGGATAGGTTCTTTAAAGGCCAGTTTGGACAGAGCTTTGAGCAACCTGGCCTAATGGAAGGTGTCCCTGCCTGTGGCAGGGGGTTGGAACTGCATGAGTTTTAAGGTCTTTTCCAACCCAAAGCATTCCATGATTCTATTCTATGAAGTTAGACTCTGTCTTTATGTGTGCCTACACCCAGGTATATATATATTTCCTTACAAAAGGGAAGGATGGTATTTCCTTACAAAAACTGTTGCTGATATCAGTGTTCTCCCTCTCTTCAGAAACAGGCTTGCATGCTGATCCGCAACCTGGTCTCCCGGAGCCGGGACTTTTCTCAGCCCATCTTAGAGATGGGAGCTGAGAACCTCATAACAGAAGCTCGTGCAACACACAGGGACTGCGATGATGTGGCCAAAGCAGCACTAAGGGATCTGGGCTGCAAAGTGGAGCTCCGTGAGTTGTGGACCGGTCAGAAGGGAGGCCTGGCTCAGTGAATCCTTGCTCTGCTGAGGAGAGATGCGTCAAGACATCTAGGTACATGAAGCCTATGGGGGGGGGAACAAAATGGCATGGATTAATTTGCAGTTACACAACTGGAATATCTGAAGCAAATGCCTGGCTTGTGAGGCTGCAGTGATCTTTTTATGGGGAGCTACAGCTGAAATGGCTTCACGCATTCACAGGCTGCAAAGCAACTGTGTGGTAACCATTCCCTGAATCACCTCATGCCTGAAGATGACCTGCTTCCCCTTATCTATGTTCTTTGTGGCCAGAACAGGGCCATTCCCACATGCTCTGATCTGTACAGAGAGAGCAAAAACAGCTCTTGACCAATAGGAGTTTGGTGTGTACTGTGGTAGCCGGTGCTGGTTTTTCCTCTGCTCTCTGCCGGTTGAGGCTGGCAGCTTGATCTGGGATAACGACATGAATGAGGAGGACTGCCATCATTTGTGAATGTGTTCTGTCCTGTTACTGTTGTACTATTATTTTATTGCTGACCATATTGCATTGCTGCTTTGGTTTGGGTTTTTCAGCCAACATAACATTTCAAATGAAAGCAAAGGATTTTGGATAGTGTGGCCCAAAGCAACCTACTTTGTGAAGGTACTATTGGCAACCTGAAGGAAAGTCTGTGGTTTCTGTCAGTGAGATGAGCACACTGGGGGGGGGCACTGGTTTCAAAACAGTGCTGGGGAACCTGGGCTTTGGCTCCCTCTTAGTGGGGCAGCACTTCCCTGAATCCAGGAGTGTTGAAACAGTAGTGAAGAGCCTACTTCTGCTGCAGGCTTGGGGGCAGAAAAGGGGCTGAAACATCCATAGAGGCTCTGAAAGCTCAGCTAAAGGCATGTATGCCCCTATTTCTGGCTGTGGTGTTACCAGTCCTGCTTTGGCGCTGAACCTTCCTCCTGCACTGCTCCTGCTGTACCTGAGCAGATGTTTTCTAATGTGAGATTCTCTGTAGAAATGTTGACCATATAAAATACAAAACCATACAAGGGTGATTGGTTCTTTGTTGGAGGTTTCTTGAGGTGGGAAAAGAAAGGTGCTGAGGTTGGAAGTCAAGCCTCCTGGAGCCCTACCAGCCAGCAGATTGCAAAGGTCGTGGTGGGTCTTCAAAGGTTTCGAGCTCCACCCGTGTTTGGCTGGGGGGAGGCTGCCTGGGGCTCCTCGATCCAGCTACATGAAAGCCTCGCGGGGGGTCTGTGCCCTGTCCTCACCTCCCGAGGTCCTCCAGTGAAGGGGCCCCGCTCCTCCGGGGCAGAGCACACAGGAAGAGCTGATGAAGAGACCCGGAGGTGCCCGGGGCGGGGGGGGGGGGGGGGGGCTGGGGAGTGAAGTGGAGAAGAGCGCTCGCTCGGTCTCACCGGTGCAGTTGAGCTCTCGGGCTTTGCCCTCGGGTGTGTGGCTGCACCACGGCTTCTCGCAGAGAACCGAACGCGACGTTCCCCACGGCGGCAGGAACACTTGGACTCGCCCTCACCGTGAACACGCGTTGGTGCTGCTCCCCCTGCACCTGCCGGCTCTCAACCCCTGCCGGAGCAGCGGAAAGGCGGCTGCGGGCCCGGCACCGGGAGGGCTCCTCCGCGCCCCGCCGCTGGGCTCGCCCTGCCTCCCGCTACGCCCCGCCCCTGCGGCGCGGCCCGCCCTTCCCCGGCTCCGGTTGGCTGCCGCCACTGCCTGTCTGCGGCTGCGCAGCCACTCCCCGCGCACGGTGCTGCCCCTGCCGCGGCGATTGGCTGCTCCGCAGGGCGGGCCCCGCCTCCCGCGGGCGCTGCGGAGGAGGGGGCGGCCTGACGGCGGCGGGCAGACGGAGGCTGAGGCGGCGCGGCGCCGATCCGGTGAGTGCGGCCCCGGGCCCCGCCGCTCCTGGCGCTGACACGGCCCTGGGCGACCATCGCTGGGCCCTGGCGCCTGCGGGCCGGGCAGCCCCGGGCCGTGTCGCGGTGTACGGGGCCGGGTGACATTGCCGCGGCCTCCCGCGGGGTCATCGCGCCTTCGCCCCCCGCCTCCTTCCGCGCTGCCCCAGCGCTCCGGGCAGGGCCGGCGGGGCTCGGGTTGCTCCGGGCGGGCTTCGCCACCTGCCCCGTCCGCCCGGGTGTTGGGGGGAGCCGCGCCGGGAGCCGGCCCGCGTTGTGGGATAGCGGCGCCGGCCTTGGCTGCGCTCCGCGCCCCGCTGTGGCACCGCTCCGGTGGCCCGGGTCGCGCTGCCCGGCTGCCTGCAGCCTCCCGCCCCATTGCCTGCCGTCGGGGCCGGCCCCCCCGCCGACCACCCTGCCTGCGCCATTGGCCACCGCGCCAGCCCTGCCGGCGGCTCCTCTTGCCTGCTCTTGGCCTCCTCCCTGCTGCCAGCCCCGCTTCTCAGGTGCGGCGCCGGTGCTTGTCGGGCGCATCAAGCTCCTCTTCCCTTCCGAGTGTTTCGATGAGAGCTGGTCTCAGAAGCGCGCTTAGTTGCGGTGTTTGGCGTGGTTTGGAAGCTGATGTGGACCCGAGGAGGCGGCAGGGTTGTGTTTCTCTGCGGAGCGGTTGATAGTAGAGGGTGTGGGAGCCATGAAATGCAGATCCCTGGGTGTCGTCTGCCTCTATCCGACTTCAGCGTAAGCACAAACTTGTAGAGCAGCCGTGACTTTCCTGCTCTGCCTCCCAGCGTGGGAGTGCAAGAGATGGCCAGGACTGGGCTTAGATAGCAGCGTGAAAAGGCACGTGGAAAACGCTGGAAGGGAATGTGCAGGGTTAATAAACTCTCTTCCACCTTCTCTGCTGCATGCTGAGGGTGTAACTGGCTGTACCGCAGGTGTAGCGCTCGCTGCAGTTGCTTTGTTGACCTTAAACCTCCGCTCCTGTTTGAAGGAGTTGAAGTTGTGTGTGAGCTCCTTGACGCTGCTTTCCTGTTGGCTGTTAACTCAGCAGACTACGTGGAGAGGGTTTGGAGCCTGCTGTCTCCCGGCTGTTTTTGTGGTGGGTTCTTAATGCTTCACGGTCTCATGAACTGCAAAGCTTTTCCTGGGGTTTGGGTGCTCCTCCGGTGGTGTTCTGTGGTTTGATGAATTTAGAGTGTTTGGAAAACATTCTGGGTTTAAAATGACTGGTTTGGGAGAAGGGTGTGTGTGTTTAGGAACAGCAGAGATGTCTGTGGGTGTTGGGAAAGCGCTGACTGAAGTGAGGCTGTGTAATAAGGGTACCAGAGGGTTGGTATAATCACATCAACCACCTGTGGGTGAATGTGTTTAAAAATAATCCTGTGACTGGGAGTCTGAAACACCAGGGCTGGATTCCAGGTAACCCTGAGCAGCCTTCTAGAGCTGTGGAGACTCAACACGTCGTATCCTTTCCCCCAGCAAGCCAGAAGTCATTGTTTAGCACCACTGCACGTTGGTCTGGAGGAGAGCTGCTGGGACAGGGGTGATTGGGGCTGTCCTTGGTGTTGGATTTCAGCAGGAACTCTCTGGTCCCGGTGATTGCTTCAGGCAGAGGAATTGTAGCTCTTGATAGCAGGGCAGTATGAGTCAGAAGCTGCAATAATCTCTTTTTGCTTGTCCTGCAGCTGTAGCTAATGCAGCGATTTGGGCAGTCCCTGCTGTGAGTGCATGTTTCCGGCATATCTGGCTTGTTCAGCTTGGCTTCAGGAGGTTACATAAAACATAAGGTGAGCACCAGCAGAGCCTCGAGTCTGTGGTTACCTGCTGAAGCAGATGGGCTGGGGACGGGTGAGATGGGTTTGCTGTTAGAAAAGAAGCTCAGGAACCAGGAATAGTTTTCTTCTACTTAGGTTGCTGCTAATTGTAGGAAAAGAGATATTCAGGTTCGTACCTTCTAATGCTAAGTGGTACTAATCCATCACGCTGCAGGGCTGCTCTGTCTTCCAGGTGGTATGTGAGTATTCCTGGTAGCTGGCATACAAAGGGACTTCACATTTTTTGTGATATGGAAAGGTGAACCGAAACACAAACAGCTTGCTCTAGGCCACAAAATAAATGAGTGTTTGAGGAGCTCTTTCCTCTCTAGTTGTGCTTTAAACCTGCTACTCTTTGCCATGGTGCAGTGAATGATAGTGTGACTGTGTCTTGTGCTGCCAGGCCCAAGTTACCATAAAGTAACCAAGTTAATTAAAATCTGCAATGCTTTGGCTAAGCAGAGTTCCTGCTTAACTTGGCTTCAAGTTTTGTACAACTTAGAGTGGGTACAACAGGCAGAGGGGTGTGTAACGCATGGTCTAGTGAGAGTAGTATAGTCAATGAGGAAAGCATTGTCCATAGGAAATGACACCCTCCTGGCACACTGGTGGGTTGTTCTGCTTAATGATGGAAGATTTGAGTTCTTTATTTTCCTCTTTATAGGCAGTTTAAACGGCTGAGGTTTTAGCACAGAGATGGTTATTGTGTTGAAATAGATCCTGGCAAGGATTGCTCCTGTGTTGACTGGGGCTTGCCTGTATTCCAGAGCATCTCAGTTTGACTTCCGAAGCTTCAGCAGTGCTGGGACCTGTCACTCTGGGACCTCATGTGTGCCTGTGGTGACACTCAGGTGACTGCCTCTGGGCTCCATTGATGGCAGCTCAGGTCTGCATGTGCCTGCAGGAGGCCTGCTGACCGAGAGGTCCTAGCTAGCGTTCTGCTGCTGTTTCTTTATGACATTACCACTGAAAAGTAATTGTTGAGAGGAGAATCCAGGCTGGGAGGATGCTGGGGGTTCTGTGGGTGCAGTAGCTTATTTGGGTCTGTTCCTAAAGGAAGGCGATTGCTGTCTGACAAGTGGGGTGGGTTCAGCAGAGGGCCCCTGTGATCCGGCCCCCTGTTTAAGCACTCCCTTCTCCCTCAGATAAAGCTGTTAGCTGGCTCACAGATAAGAACCGGTCTTTGGGTTTTGGCTGTGGAAAACACAGCTGAGGTGTTCCCAGCAACAGGCTGCTTTCAGCAACTGAAGAATGAAGCTCTGTTTTTGCGTGCCAAGACTTTCTCTGTTGCGTGGCTCTCGCCTTCCTTCCAGGCTTAGTGCAAAACTCCCCTGGACTCCTGAATAATGCAGCTGGCTTTGCTTGCAGAGCTCGAGATTTAACC